AAGCATCGGAGACTAGAGCTCCTTTGCCTGGGAGTAAACCTGGTAGCACCACCTTACTGCTCAGCACCATATAGTTCCCCGTTTCTTCTGTTCCTTCTCGCAAGCTCCACACTGGAAACGAGTTCCATGACGAGGAGACCTTCGTCGCCCGGTTGTCCACTGTTACTGACAAAGGCTGACCACTGACGAACTTGGTGCGACTGCAAACCCCTGGAGGATCATCATCGGTGTCGCTCACTGTCTCGTAGTCCAGAAACTTGTCCTCGACTGCATGGATGTTCCACTGCTCCTTCCCACTATGAAGGTGGAGCTTCCGCCCGTATTCCTTGTGACTCAGGATTGGATCCACGCAGTTGCTTTCCTGCTCTTCGGCTGTGTAGGTCTTCTTCCCGAGCTGGTGGTGGAGTGCTGCCACACTGAAGCCTGCTTGGTGGTCTGCGAATTCCTGCTCTCGACTTAGTCTCGGACAAGGTGGTGGCCCGAGCTTCCTACCATGCTTCGTCTTCACGTAGAGATCGTCGTCACGGGGCAGTTTTGTGATCACCATGAGATAGTTGTGCAGGATCATGATCATCACCAGGTCGTGCTGCATTGTCTTGGCCCACGTAAAGATTTTGAGGGAGAGAGAGGCATCGTTGAGCTTCTTGAGAACCACGCAGAGCTGGTAGGGGTGCGTTATCCCAGTCTTGAGCCTGTTATCCAGCTTCGCAACCGTCTTGGAGCTCCAGCTCCCTCCTCCTTTCTTCACAGTCTTGTGGAAGACTAGAGCTCCTTTGCCTGGAACTAAACCCGGCTGACCCTCCTTACTGCTCGGCACCATATAGTTCTCCCTTTCTTCTTTGCATTCCTGCAAGCCCAACGAGTTCCACGAGACATTCTTCGCCTGGTTGTTCACTGTTACTGACAATGGCTGAACAATGGCGATCTTGTCGCGACCGCAAAGCACCAGAGGATCATCACCAGTGTCACTCGCGGGAGGAAGTGTCTCGTAGACCAGAAACTTGTCCCTGACTGCACGGACGTTCCACTGCTTCTTCCCTCTGTGAAGATGGAGCTCCTGCCTGTACTGCTTGTGACTCATTATCAGATCCACGTAGTTGCCTTCCTGCTCGTCGGCTGTGTAAGTCTTCCTCCCGAGCTGGTGTTGGACTGCTACCATGCTGAACCTATCCAAGCCTGCTTCGGGGACTTTTTGCTGTCTGGGACGAGGTGAAGGCCGCAGCTTCCTGTCATACTTCGTCTTCACGTAGAGATCGTTTCCACGGGGCATGTCTGTGATCGCCATGAAATAGTTGCCATCGACTCCAAGGATCATGACCATCACCACGTCGTGCCGGAAGCTGGAGATTCTCATGGCCAGCGTAAAGAACTCGAGCGAGAGATATGTGTTATGCTTCATCTTCTTGACAACCATGTCAATGATCTCGGGCTTGAGAATGTCCAGATTCTCTCTTCTCTCTTTCATTGCATTCGAAGTCTAGCGTCTGGAACTAAGAACTGGATAGAAACTTGTCAGTTCCCAGTTTAAAAGAAGAACGTACCAATGCTTTCCTCTGCTAGAACTAGTCACAGTTGGCTGTGGATTTGGCGGCGAGATAGTGGAAGCTCGTCCTTCCTGCAAGAGGAGCTTCATGAGTTATGCACGTCGATCTATAAGTTAGAAGATAGCTTACCAATTTTCTGGAGCCGTGGGAGCTCGATCTACCCTGCCTGCCCGGATTCTCAGCTGGTGGATGAGAACCACGCTCTCCAATACGACGATCACGCCAACAGCACCGCTGGAACAGTCGCTTCCACGCGCTCATGCATCGATGCTATTGCAAAAGAGGTGAATCCGTGATAATCCGGCATCCAGTCCAAGAAATCCCGGCCTAGAGAGCCTGAGCGATCAATCCCACGCTGGATTCTGCCGCAGATCTAGACAATCCCGGTGAACTATGGCGATGGCGACCAAGCAAGGGAAGAAAGAATGTACCTTGTGGATGATTTCTCAATGCTGCCAAGCGCCTAGAAATCTATCGATCGATCTGTAAAACCCTAGGCAGAGATCTTCTTCTCCCTCGGTGTTCTGCTGGCCGTGAAGTTAAAGATGCGGAGAATATACCAAAGATACTTGGGCACGACTAGGGCGAATTTAGGCGGGAAGGGAAGGGGATATGCTCGATTTCTGAAGAGGATGCATTCATTGCTGCCACGTCAGTGTGCCGCCAAGGCACTGATTCAAAGTTTAGGGCGCGGCAAGAGGATTAGAAGGCAATGGAAGAAGATGCCCCCGCAGAGACAATGATCCACACTGCGGTGATATTATCCATATTCAAATGTTAAATCCCACTTTGAGTTGCTGCTGCTGGAATTTTCGAAGAACTTCTCTTACCAATATGGTAGAAGGAGAATATGTTTTAGACGTTTTCTAGAGAGTAATAGCATTTTAGCACAAAAGAATCTCGCCTCTCTTGATGGAATCATCGATCATCGCTTCAGCTCTGTCGTGTTCTTGCCAGACACACAATGTTTGCTGGTGACCAGAAATGTCTTACAGCTTCTAGCACTTGGCCATCCTCAGACACCTAAAAGAGAAAAAAAATTAAAAAGTGGAAACAAAAATGCCATAGCAGCCGCATAACATACCCTTTCTGCCCTCACTTCCATGGCTTCGTCGTTATCCTCGGACGATCAAAGCCCTCACACCTTTTGCATCCCGAGGGAAAAATTTCCCATGAGTCGCCACACTACCTTCATATGGCACTGGCAAAGCCTTTGCTGTGTAGCTCAAGAGCCCACTTAGTTCAAATTATAAAATCGCCCTTATAATTCTTGGCCATGGCTTCCATCATCTCCCTGGCAATCGCCTCCACTCCATTGCTACAGCAATCCTTTATGCATCCAAAAGTGACTTACTCCCGGAATATTCTACAACAATCCTTTAAGTGACTTACTCCCGTGAAAACCATACATAAAAATTGAATACTTTCCGGATCAATGTTGTACAAATTCTGAAACACAACCAGAATATAGACATTCCATGTACCGCTTGTTTCCAAAAAGAAGTGTCAATGCAGAGTCTGTAGTATTGCCTAAGTCCGCTTGGGGACCAGGCCTAGAAGCAAAACGAATCACCATGTATTATAGTGAAAGTTGCGTTGCGAGAATTGCAAGGCTCCCTGGCAGCATTTAACAAGGATTTAGCCATGCTATTTTTGTAACGTGAGAATTAAAAAACTCTGTATCGAGATCCAGGAGCTCAGGCTTGGCATCGAGACGCTTGACCGCATCCAGGAAGCTCTCACCTCTACAGGAAGATGCTGTACTTCGGTTGTCAACCAGATGCTTGCACCTTTTGGCCTCCTCAGTGGCGATAACCAAATCAGTATGCTCTATGGGATGATTGGGATTGCAGTTGCCGGCAAGCATAGCCTACTTACGACACTCCTGCCAGCTTTCAAGACAAAAGAAGGTTCTATCCAAACTAGACAGAGACCTGTATGGAAGGGACGTGCAAGGCTTCACTCATGTACACCCCCAACATAAATGAAAAACCTCGCTGCGTTTTACGAAAGAAAAGAACCAGAAGTAGCTGAACACTGATCTACGTATGCCCGTTGACAATTCTTGGCTAGACCAGCATTTTCAGCTAGCACGAAAAAAAACAACGAAAATGAAAGAGAAAACTTACGTTGAATTTTTCAGGGAGATTGACTCCCGCATTGAGGTCACGAAAAAAAGTTTCTCTTCTTCTCATCTGTAATTTTTTATTTTATTTTTTATTTCGGCGACTCAAGACCGTGTTATTTGCGTTGTCGAGGTGCGTTTTCAGCAATGAACTTTCGGAAACAAAAGGCATCTCTCAGGTGTTGCTTGTTTTGTTGGAATGCGACCATTCTTAATGCTCAGGTTCTGGGAAATGGCATGGCTAAATCTTTGTGAATAGATGCTGCCGGGTGAATACGTGTGTCCTCGCACAAGCCTGGCTGGAGAGTGCTACATAGCAGTTTGCAGATGGATTTCTATATCTCATTGTTCTCCGGGACTAATAGCTCATCGGCCTGCTTACGAGCATACAGTAAGGGAAAGCAGTGGAATCCAGGTATTTCACATATCTCAAAGTAAATCACTCAGAAGAACTTGGAACTTACAAGAAGAGGTTTTGAATCCAAGTAGCTCCGAGTGGAAATGTGGGGAGCAATCCAAGGAGACGTGGATGGTATAGTTGTGACAAGAGGGCAAGGTCTGGCCACTCTTTTCTGTCCACCATAGCAGCTTAAAGATCTGTAAAATATACTGGTTATTTTCTCTCTTACGAAATAAGGTTTTTTATTTTCTTGAGGGGTTGCGATGGCCAGGCAGATGATGGAAGCGATGGCCAAGAAGTAGGGCGATTTTATAGTTGGAAAGATGACCTAAGTGCTACCCCTTCAACTACACAGCAAATGATTTGCCAGTGCCATTTGAAAGTAGTGTGAATTATCCCTCGGGATGCAAAAGGTGTGAGGGCTTTGATCATTTTTATTGTTGACACGAAGCCGAGGGTGGAAAGGATATGTTATCTGGATTTTGTTAGTGTCTGAGGATGGTGAAGTGGTGGAAGCTTTAAGAAATTTTTGGTCACCAGATGTTGATTGGCAAGAACACCAAGACAGAGTTGAAGCGTTGATTGACAATCTCATCAAGAAACGCTACATTGTCTAGAATGTCCTCTCTTTATGTTTATTCACTAGTAGCTCCTTCGGCTATCTAGTGAATAAAAAATCATGTTTAGTTTACCTCTTGGTCACTTTCTTCTGGCATACTGGTAAGAGAAATTCTAGAAGCAGAACGAATTACCAATGAGATCAATGAGATCTAGAAATCCGTCTGCAAACTGCTATGAACAGAAGACAATGCGAAAGGAGAGAGAAGCATAAAGTATCATAGCGAAAGTTGCGTTCAGCATTGCAAGGGATAAGAAAAATTCTTTTTTCACAAACTTGCATATCAAATTAGATGGTATTTGGACCACGGTCAACTCACTTCCAAGACATTTCTCGAGATTAGCAAAAAGATAACAAATCATATAACAATGTAGCCTTTCTTGAGGGACTCGTCAATCAACGCTTCGGACCTGTCTTGTTGTTCTTGCAAGATAAACAAACTTTGCCAATCAACATCTGCTGAAGAATAGTTTCTATAATCTTCCAGAATTTGGCCATCCTTAGACACCTGAAGGAGAAAAAGGTGAAACAAGAAAAAAAAAAAATTTAAAATCCAGAGAAGGTACCCTTTGGATCCGCACTTCCATGGCCTCGTCGTTATCATCGTCAATAACAAAGACAACCAAACCCCTCACACCTCTTGCATCCGGAGGGAAATATCTCCCATGAGTCGCCACATAACCCTCAACTGGCACCGGCAAATCCTTTGCTGTGTAGCTCAGGGGGTAATACTCTCTTCCACTTAGTTCATCGATCATACCCATCTTCCCCAGTGTGAAATCGCCCACATAGTTCTTATTATGGCCCAGCCCTTCCATCATTTCCCGGGCAATCGCCTCCATCGCAATCAAAAGCAAAAAAAAAAAGAAGAAAAAAAACCTTTTTTGGAAAGTCTTCCTTGAACGTTACTTTGAGATGTTCACTTATGGTTCATGGACGGTGTGAGATTTATTTTCGCCAAAGCCAATTATATTATCTGTTTTTACTCCCCTTGGATTTCTAGATCTCATTGTTCTGCGGGACTGGGTATTACTCTCTCCCACTTAATTCATCTATTATGGCCACCTTCCCTAGTGTAAAATCACCCCTATACTTCTTAGCCATCGCTTCCATCATCTGTCTGGTGATCTCACAACCCCTAAAAAACACACACAAAAGAATGCCTAGCATATTCTACAGATCTTTAAGTAATGGATCCTGTACAGGTTATTGGAAATTCGTGGAGAAGTCTATGGCGGACAGTAAAGAGTGGCCAAACCTTGCTCCACACAGACCTCAATGGTCGGACCATAGGACATGGGGTCTCCCTTACCATCGCCCACGGCGCCCCAGCCTCTCGTCACAACCTCGCCATCCACGTCGATGTATCCTCCTTGGATCCGGCTCCCCACTCTTCCACCGGGAGCTATTTGGAAAGCTTTCACCTATGCATCAAAAGAGAAGAAATCAAACGCTCTTCTTGTAAGTTCCAAGTTCTTCGAGTGACTTACTTTGAGATACGTGAGATACTTGGATTCCACCGCTTTCCCTTGCTGTATGCTCGTAAGCAGGCCGATGAGCTTGTATCGAGGGCAGTCCCGGAGAACAATGAGGTCTAGAAATCCATCTGCAAACTGCTATGAAGCGTAAGAGAACGCGAGAGATCTTAGAGTGCGTACCTTGGACTCGGGGGCGGAGTTAAAGTCCTCACTAGCCCAAGGAACGTTTTGCAGCAAAACCATCACGAATGCTCCCTCCATCACCCTCCAGTCGCTTCTCAGCGACGAGGATACCGGTCCCGAGTAGCCGGTCGCGGCGCGTCCCCTTCTCTCGTCGTCACACTCGACTTTCATGCCGTCGAGCTCGCCATTGTAAGGTGCTCCTATGTCCTCGTATCCAGGCGCCGGAACGTAGGCGAAAACACCGTTGTACCGCCGCAAGCGTAAGATGCGTATCAAGCTCTGCAAGCAAAACGGAGTGGAGTTCGCTTGTTATTTTAGCTATCTCTTGAAGACAACTTACGTAAAAGTCGAAACGCAACCCTCCCATCCACCGATACTTTTCGGATTCAATGTCCACGTCCGCGACAAATCCTGAAACACAGCCAGCAGTGTTTTAATGAAGAGAATATAAACATTCTATGTACCCCATGTCAGTAGGAGAATGCTGTAGAACTTTGTTTGTCCTTGTACAACTGTGGCGACATCAACCGCTTGTGTGTGACCTGCAAAAACGGCCAAAACAAGTGTCAATGCTCTGTGGCATCGCGTAAGTCCGCTCAGAGACCAAGCAAAACGAATTACCGCGTATTATAGCGAAAGTTGCATTGCGAGCATTGCAAGGCTCGCCAGCAGCATCTAACAAGGATTTAGCCATGCCATTTCCAGAACCTGAGCATTAAAAGTCGTCGCATTCACACAAAACAAGCAAAAAAAGCACGGCGAAAGTCTTGCCTGCGGGTACGACTCCAATCGGCATCTTGATTGCTCGAGCCCAGTCTGGCCTTTCTAAAAGCCCGTTCAACACCTGAAAGAGGCGTGAGCGTTTTGTTTGCGAGAAGAGCTCATTGCTTAAAACGCACCTCCACTAAAATCCCATCACCGCTAACGCATATAACTCCATCGTACTGCGCGATATTCATTGATTTGGCCATGTCTCTCGCATGAAGCTGGAATTGAGTCACTGAAACAAAGAAAAGTTTAAGAAAAGAAGAAAAAAAAGAAACAAAGATATCGAAAGAGAAACCTTTCTTCGTGACCTCAATGCGAGCTGCCGCGAGTAGTGGCAAAACATCGCGCTTGTAGACTTCTTCTGCCTCTCCTTTGCCACTAAAGGGATTGATAAAAACGACCAATCTCTTCGGCCTCCCTGAAAAATAATTCCTCAAGCTTGTTCTAGAAAACCAAAAGAGCAAATCTACTTACCTGATCGATCCAAACACTCTTGGATGGCATCGCACCACAGCTTGTAAGCCTCCCGCTGCTCGAATTCCAAGGTCACGTCCTTCCTCTTGCGCTGATTGCCTCCACAGCACCCCGTGCTCGCAAACTGGAAGGTGTGAAGCACGATCGTGATCGGCTTGTCCGTGAATCCCAGAATGTCCTTCTGGACGATGAGGCTCCCGGCGCTGATCCCATGGCCGTCCCATTTCAACACCCCCGAGGAGCTGAAAGACGCCTTGACGCGCGTTCCATCCAGCAGGAGCTGCGCTACCACGACTCTATCCTTGTCCATCTAGCTCAATCCTGTCAAAATCCCATCGAAATCATCAAGATTTCCCCCGAATCGAGCTCCAGCGCCATGGATCTCGAGCTCCAGCGCCATGGATCGCGCCCATTCTCTCACCAATCCAAAGACCTAAAATGATGCCACGTATATTCCCCGTTTCTCGGGACATCTTTAATTCGTCAGGGAGGCCGTCAAGCCCGTCAATGCTCTCTTGTTGGTTTTCATTTGCGCAAGCCCTAAGTTCTCTATCTAGGTTTTTCCCGGGCAGCGCCCGAGTTCCAAGGATTCCCCGGCGCTGCCACGGCATGGAGCGCTCCAGGCATTTGGAAATCCTCCGCAAGGTGCATTCTTCCTCTCCCCGCTAGGTCGCCGCCATCGCCACAGCTCGCTGGAATTGCCGTGATCGTCCAGCTTCCGCGGCGAAATCCACCGCGAATCCACCGGAAGAAGGAAATATTCGATCCTCGGACTCGGCTCGGCAATTTCTTGGACTGGATGCTGGATTATCACGGCCTCGCCACTCTTGCCACATCCTCCGGGGCAAGGGACAAACGTAGATGCATGAGCGCGTGGAAGTGGATGTTCCAGCGCTGCTGTTGACACTCGTGATCGTCGCGCTGGTGAGCTTGGGTCTGATCCACCAGGTGAGAATCCGGGCAGCAAGGCAGATCGAGCTCCAGCGGCTCCAGCAAATTCTAGCGGCCGAGAACGAACAACACGAAAAGCTAGCCGAGCAGGAATACACTTCCATGTTGGCTACTCCGCGAAACTCTACCACCATCTCGTCGCCGAATCCACCACAGCAACAGCAACTAGCAGCCGCTAGCTTGTGTGCCGTCTGTGACAGCCCAACAAACAGTCGCTGCTCGCGTTGCAAATCGATTCACTACTGGTAAGCTAGTTCTTTCCTTGGAACTAGGAAAATGACGAGTTTCTTCTTTCAGTTCTTCGAAGTGCCAAGTCACGCATTGGAGGCAAGGTCACAAGAACGAATGCCTTGTGGCGGGGGCGGAGAAACCCACGCCCAAGCCCAAGTCCGAGCCCATCTCTTTGGCAGTTCCAGGAACCAAGAAGCTTAAGAACACCGAAGCTTCTCCTCGAGCTCATGTTATCAGTCCTAAGCCAGCACCAGCAGAAGTGGAGGTGAAGAAGTTGTGTTTGCAAACTTCCGAATCTAAGTCGGACGAATCCAACGTAACTTCTGATGGGAGTCTTGTAAAGCCCAAAAAGGTTCTGTCTTATTTCCTTTCTTGCATTGATCAAGCATTTTTCTTTTTCTTTCAGATACTATTTCCGTATGGTCGCTTCGTTCATTACTTCAACTGGGATTTTCGAAGGCCACCTTGCGGACTGATAAACTGTGGAAACAGGTAAAAGAAAATGTACTATGAGAAACGAGGTAACATATTTTTTCCCCTGGCAGCTGCTTTGCGAACGTTATACTTCAGTGTCTTTCTTACACAAGACCTTTAGCTGCATATTTACTTGAGGGAAGCCACCGTGCTGAATGTAAGTACTAGAATTTCGTTATCTTATCTTACATTTCTACTCTTCCAGGCCGTCGAAATGATTGGTGTTTTATGTGTGAGCTTCAAGACCATGCTTTGAGGGTCTTCAATAGCGAGGTTCCTTTCTCGCCTTTTCGAATTTTGTCACGCCTGCGGGACATTGGTAATCATCTTGGCTATGGACGTCAGGAGGATGCGCATGAATTTATGCGGTAGGCTTTTGGATGTTTGTTTGCGAGTTTATAAAATATTATATTGTGCAGGTTCGCCGTGGATTCGATGCAGTCTATATGTCTCGATCAGTTTGGCGGTGAAAAGCAAGTAGATTCCCGTAGTCAAGAAACGACGTTGATTCAGTACATATTTGGTGGCCATCTTCAATCACAGGTAAGAAGTAGACAGTCATTAAATCTTTGCTAAGTTATCTTCGTTTATCAGGTGAAATGCATGCAATGCGGCCATGAGTCTAATCGCTACGAGAACATGATGGATCTTGCCGTGGAAATACAAGGTGCAGTTGAATCATTAGAAGATGGACTCGCTCAGTTTACAGCCCCTGAATGGCTAGACGGCGAAAACAAGTACAAATGCGATAGGTGGTGTGACGTTTGGGCAATTCCATTATTTTCCTGGTACTACTCTTGAATTATTTTCTGCTTTCCAGATGCAACGGTTATGTGAAGGCGAGCAAGCGTCTAAGTGTTTATGAAGCTCCGAACATTCTTACGATCGCCTTGAAACGCTTCCAGGTTTTTTTTGTTTCTTTTTTGTTTAATGTTTTGAGATCACTATCACGGTGTTATGTGTAGTCCGGAAAGTTTGGGAAGCTAAACAAACGGGTCACCTTTCCGGAAGCCTTGAACATTTCACCGTACATGAGCGGAGAAGGAGACAAACCTCCCCTCTACAGACTGTATGCGGTTGTTGTACATGTCGACATGCTAAACGCTTCTTTCTTTGGCCATTACATTTGTTATGTTCGGGACATGACAGGAACTTGGTATAAAGTCGACGATAGCAAGGCAAGAGTTTCTTACTACTGTGTTGTTTCCTCCTTTACTGAGTGGATGTTCAATTGATGTAGGTGAAAGAGGTTGATACAGAGAAGGTGATGTCTCAGAAAGCTTACATGCTGATGTACAGCAGGTATCCAGAATTCTGCAGGTCTATCGGTTAACTTGTGTTCTTTTCGTAGATCTTCAGCAAGACCCGGTCCGGAAACAGCTGTTGGCTCTGTGGCTTCAACTATAACTGATGTATCGGTTTCAAATGGGAGAAAGTGCTCGTCGTCCTCCTGCAAGTACCAGCAGAGTTCGTCAATTGGACAAGTCCATGATCAAGTCCATCGGGTTAGTCCGATAATAGCTGGAACTTTGATCGATAACTCGCTGGTAGAAGAATCGGTTGGGCCCTCGTATTCAACTTTGCAGACCACTACAATCGAGAAGGTTATCGAGCTCGGGTTTGACGATTCAGACAGCATCACCGGGTCATCCCAGGAGATAGACAGAATCTCGTCACCAAATTCACAGGTGGAGATGTCTCACGAGCTGGCAGAGTGCGAGGTCACTTCACCTTCAAGTTCGCAAAGAAGGAAGGCTGCCAAGCGGAGGTTAGAAACTTCCGACGCGCCTCGGACGAGATCGTTGTCGTGTCCTCCGGCTGCGAAGTCTCCAGCGTCCCCTTCACAGTCTCATCAGCTAGCAGATGACCTTCCAAGGAGTTTTGGATACTCTCTGGCTCAGCGGGACAAGGAACGCTTGACAGCCGCGGATAAAGTCGAGTCGCCATCCAAGAGGCAGCACTTGCTCCAAGAGCGCTCTTCTTCCATGGAAGTTGACAACGAAGTGAGTAACGAAACCAGTAGTAAAGAGGGGGGAGCTGAGGAGGAGCCAGCGTCCCCGTCGATGGATGAGCTTGATCAAAGCTTGTCTCTACCAGCGGGGGAACTTCATACAAGCACAGCATGCGTGCAGCAAGCTTTGTCGGGGGCAACCAAGGATGGAAACCAGGACGTGAAGAAAGAGCCGCCGAGGAAAGCAGTGAACGGGGTTGTACTCAAGCCGGTATTCGCGAAAGGATTTCTGGACAGGTCCGTGAGGAGAGTTTTAAACACCACCAACAGGGAGGAGCTGTCTCCTAGAGGATCAAGCCGCGATCAGCAGCAGCAGCAGCAGCAGCGAGAGATCATCACAGGAAAAGGAGACGAGGTGTCGACGATTGAGAGATCGATCAACAGTGGCAGCAGCAGCAGCAGCAGCAACAGTAGTTCCAGGAAGCTGGGACGAAACGATAGCTGTTCTTGCGGATCACAGCGGAAGTGGAAGAAGTGCTGTGGAATGGTGAAAGAGATCGAGAGTAGCCGGAGGCTGGTCGCGTAAGTAGCAAAAGAAAGAAAATTCTTCCCCGAGTTGCAAAATTTTTGGAATGCTAATGTTCATTCTTATATTGTTTTGTTGTAAATGTATCGATTTTATCTATGACAAAACAAAACCATAACAGAATATCTTTATGCTTAACGAAATATGCGTTTGAAAGCCATATGAACAGAATATGCCACTATAGGAGAATATGCTTCCCAAACCCCTAAATTTTGAAATTCTAGGGCTCTTGAAAGAGCGGGATGGCGATCTCGGCGATCGTGGGGCGGACCAGTCCGATTCGGCGTTTCTTCTCGCTGGATCCTACGAGCTCAATGTCAGCATCTTCTATCAATCCAACGTCAAGGAGTTGATCGTGTTCACGGCGCGCACCATCGCCTCGCGCACCAAACCGGGGGAGCGCCGATCGGTGGAGCAGGGTATGTGTTTTTCTAGATCGTTTGTTCTTCGTGTGTGAGCTCCTTTCTTTTCGTGGTGGATTGTTCCTCATTTTCTTTGTGTATAGACCAGTACACGGTACATAGTTTCAACCGGAATGGACTTTGTGGCCTGGTTTTCGCCGATAAACACTATCCAAGCTCTTTCCTGGTTCTTCGCGAGGTAAACACTTTGGAAGCTTTGGCGAAGTTTTGTCTGCTTCGTTGTTTTTTCTTTCTCTCTGGCTCAGGTGCTTGACAAGTACGAGCAAACGTTTGGAAACTCGTGGAGGCAATTGAAGGCTGACAAGCAGCACGCCTGGCCATGGCTCGACGAGGCTCTCAAGAAATTCCAGGTAGCTTTCCACCTCTTTTTGCTCTAGCTTTGAATCCATCCTTCCTCTTTCTCTAGGATCCAGTCAATGTGGACAAGATCCAAAAGATCACCAAGGACTTGGACGACACCAAAGTCATACTGGTGCGTGAGAGAGAGCCTCCCTTGAGTTTTTGCTCTTAGCTTTCCCGGCTTGATGCTCGTGTTTTCCCAGCACAAAACGATCGACAGCATCCTGGACAGGGGCGAGAAGCTCGACAGTCTCGCCCAGAAAAGCTCCGACCTCAGCTTCAAATCTCGCGTAACTAAGTTCTTTTCTTCGTTCGCGATCCTCGAATGACCTTTGCGTGTTTTTTATATGTAGGAATTCTACAAAGTCGCGCGCAAAACCAATCAATGCTGTTCCTTGGCATAGATTCGACCACTTCGAACATGTCTTGCCGCTGTTTTCTTAGCCTCATAAGCATGGTTTTCCGATCTCACAATGTTGACTAAGCTTCTAAAGATTGGTTTCATTGCCCAGCATTGCGATCGAATCAAACTTTTTTGGATTGACAAAATGTCGAATGATCTTTACAATGCAGAATTCTATGAAGTCGCATACATGTCCGTTTTAAGAATTGTTGAAAGGAGTCAAAACTCTCGCAAGGAGAAGGTCCGGTCTCATCATCAAAATTCTCGTTTAACTGTTGGATCCTGATTCCAAAAAGCTGTAAAAAAGTAACGATTCATACGATTTACCTAAGTGATACGAAGGATCTCTTGCATTGCGATGGAGGTTGCTCCAGGCTCAAAGTCGACACCGCCGAGCGCAGTTTCTTCGAGGCCCGGGAGCCTTGCAATGCAGCTCCGTTCGTCTTTGGTGAGTCCATCCGATTGCAAAGCGTTTTCCAGTCGGTCCTGACATCCCAGTGCTACTATCAGGTCGAATATCGCCTTCTGCAAGTTCGACGACATCAGGCACAAGTTCCCGCAGAGAAAATCGATGAAGACGGGCTCAGCCAAGATACTTTCTCGAATCCCTTGTTGCTCCATCACCAGCTGCATTTGAAATGTGTAGAGGCCCTTAAAACATCAAAGTGGAGAAGCTCACCTTCCTCAAAACATTTGCGAGGCGAAGTTTCTCCCTGGCACTGCCTCCTTCTTTGTCCAGCAAGACGAGCGGTATGCATCGGACCATTGTCTCTGGCCTCTCCTGCCACAGCCTCTGGAATACACCCCAGGACTCTTCGTTTCCGAGATCAATGCCTTGAACGATGGCCTGGATTTCCCTCGCCTGTGGCTCGCGTTCGTGGATCATGAGTTGCCGTTGAGCACTGATAGAATTTGACGCCAACGCGATGTCCAACAGAGTACCATAACTGGAGTTCACAGCTTCCTCTAGTTCTTCGTCTTCGGAAAACGATTCGAAGTTCTGCTTGGGAACGGCTGGCGGGGTACATACGCGGGCGTGCTCTTCGGGAAGGAAGCTGTCCACCTGCTCTGTTTTCTCAGATAGTTGGTCATAATGCGATACCGACATGATGTTCTTCGTTGCTGTGTTCGTGTTGCACAACGCAATCGTTGATCCACAGTCCCGAGAGGAAATATTTTATGGAAACGCGATCTATGATCGAAATACTTACTGCTTACCTGTGGATTCACAAGAAGCCGCAGCTCGGAGAAAGCTTTGTACTTGCGATTGGTGAAGCGCAAGAATCTCTCGTTTGGGAAATGCGAGTGATCTAGAAACTAGAAGGTGCGCGGAATATCCTCTTTCGCATTTCCACTCACTTGAATGGACGCCGTTGGATCTGCCACGTCCGTCCCATGCTAGACGTTCGTTGGTCTGCAAAAACGCTGACGCAAGTGAAATACCACTACTTTACTTATATCTCATACTTACGTCATATGGCTTTCAAACGCATATTCCGTTAAGCATGAAGATATTCTGTTATGGTTTTGTTTTGTCATAGATAAAATTACAACAAAACAATATAAGAATGAACATTAGCACTCCAAAATTTAGATCATTAGATCATTAGATCATTAGATCATTAGGTCATTAGATCAGTCCCACGACTAAATCATGGTAAGTTTTTAACTTCAATGCCCTTTCCTTGTCCTGCTGCGTCTGATTTTAGATTTGCAGATGATTTCCTAGCAGCGTCTGCCTGGAAGAGCTCCAGGTCCCAAGAGCACGTTCGGGACTGTCCGCTATGTGCTTGTTGCTGGTGGTGAGATTGTACCGTGTTACTGGTATTAACAAATATCCGTGAATTCGATTTCAGGCATTGCAACGGACTAGGATGAAACTTCTTCCTTGGAAATGAAAAATGTTGAGAGAAAGACACCAACACTAGAGGTACTTTTGAGCTCTATCTAGCATCTTTTCTAAATGTAAATCGTTTTATTGTCGGCTTTCTATCGAATCAATAGTAACACTTGCTTTAACTTTCTTGCTTTCCCAGCATTGGTTTCAGTTTGATATTTTAGTGTTGATCTTCATTGCGGAAAGTTTTCTTCTAATTCTCAGGCTGCTTTGACAAGTTCCTCCAGAGGGTAAGCTGCGTTCTAAGTAAGTTTTTTCAAAGAGTTTCTATCGATCTTATACTCACGGCATGCTTTGCAGTACCTGCTTCAGCTGAGGTAGCGTTTAGGGACATGCCAAGGACGTGATCTTCCTATCATGCAACTCAAATTATCCAGGTAACTCTCAAGTTTATCATGAGTCGAGAGACTGAGCCCTTTGTGTTTGACCAGTCCAGGGACAGGTGTGATCGCGGTCGCCACTTTCTCACGCTCCTCGTAGCAATTTCTTCCGAGCCAGAGTCCTGGAGATATGCTACAAACCAAGTACGAAGAGAGGCACACACCTTTACTTGGCTCATTCTCATGTCTATAACGACAAGTCCAGGTTTGATCCAGTTTCTTCTCACAAGATTTGCGTTTCCTGACCAGGATATCAGCAGTCCGAGAAATCTCTACTAGTTTTTGCGTGTGCGTATATTGTGACTGTGGCATTGTGTCTCTGGAGTAGCACTCTTGGAAGGCCGACGACGTCGCTACAGCCAATGACCACCACTTTCTTCATCTCAAGAAGCTAAGGTCCACGAAACTTGGCTGGAAATCATCGAGAGCCAGAGGCCATCCACATCTTTCTTGAGGCTTATGTCTTGGAGCACGGTTTCCAGCCGGATCTTCTGAAATAGGGGAAGAAAACGATGAAGAGAATACTAGTATTCAAGCTTCTGGTACGTGGTCGTTAGAAATTCTTCTGACACTTCATTCGTTTGCTGGAACTTTGGATGCGTGCCCTCGCAGTACAAGGACGAGCTCATTGGGAGTGCAGACGAGAGCCTGAAAGATCTTCTCGCAGTTCTCCTCCTCTCCAATCTTGTCTTCCCCGTTCACTGTATAAATCTGGGCCGTTAATTTATTTAAATCAAAGCTGTACATCTTAAAAGGATCTGAACCGTCGAATGTCAAACTGGTGACGTGTCATGTAACTGATGATGTGGCTAGGATTGTATGTGGGATTTTCCATGTGAACATCTATTTGGACCAGGATGATTTACCAAATCTATTTTAATGTAGCTCCCACACGCGATAAGAGTTTTCTGGGATCACCATGTTGATCTCACCGTGACAGCGGCTCAGAATTGGAGGCTTTTGATGGCAGCCAAGCCAACGTGGACCTGAAAACAGAGTTCTTTGGTCTACAACTCAGGATTCTGGCAAGCTCCACACTGGAAACGAGTTCCATGACGCGGAAACATTCGTCGCCTGGTTATCCATTGTTACTGACAGAGGCCGACCAATGACAAACTTGTCACGACCACAAAGCACCGGAGGATCATCACCGGTGTCGGTCGCGGGAGGAAGTCTCGTAGACCAGAAACCTGTCCCCGACTGCATGGACATTCCATTGCTTCTGTCCCCTGTGAAGATGGAGCTCACGCCTGTATTGCTTGTGACCCAGAATCGAACCCACATAGTTGCCTTCCTGCTCCTCGGGTGTGTAAGGCTGCTTCCCGAGCTGGTGTTGGAGTGCTACCCACTGCCCACTGATTCTATCCAGGCCTGCTTGAGGGTCTGCGCGAACAAAGCGTTCCTGCTCTCGACTTAGTCGCGGAAGAGGCGGCGGCCTCATCTTCCTACCATACTTCGTCTTCACGTAGAGATCGTCGTCACGGCACAGGTCTCTGATCGCAGCAATCTGTTCCTTCGTCCAGTAGAAGCGAGGAAGGGGCTGAAACTTGGCACCCATCTCAGATGCTAGCTAGCTAAACCCCTCGCCAAAAGAAAAACTTACCGAAAGCTCATCTTTTGACTAAAGAATGTTCCTTCTCTGCTAGAAAATACAATGGTTCAGAATCCGGACATGCAAGAGAAAGTACTTACAAAGAATCTATAGACAAGCGTTGGCCTGTAGTCGCAAGAGCCGCGATTCAGCAGCAGCACCAGCAGCTTGAGCCGGAGTTAAATCTCGGAAGGTATCAACCAGTGGGGGTGTTCTCTTTCGGTTCGTCCCAAGCTAGTAAGCTGTTCATGTCATTCGCTGAAAGAGGCTGCTCTTTTTGTTTCATTGGAAGGAGGTTCGTCTTCTGTTGGCTCATTTTGTAGATGTTCTCCTCCACGGTGTTACATATCTGGAAATGTCATCAGTAATTGGAAAACAGAAGAAACGTACGTAACTTACAATGAATCTATGTACAAGTGTCTTTAGACGTTGGCCAATCCTGTGGACTCGATTGATAGCCTGAGCTTCTACTGCCGGATTGAGCAAAGGCTCCACCAAAATAACGTGTTGGGCCTCTATTAAGTTCAGGCCATTGGCACCATGTTGAATGGGTAGTAACATGACTTGGATGTTCTCCTTCTTAAATTCCAAGATGGAAGAACCCATTTGTCTGTGAGAAACACAAAACGAGCACATGAGTAAAAGTAAAACAGATTATCGATGTTACCTGCGGTGCTTTAATCGAACCCAGCTGAGCTTGTGCTCTTCAGTGCGTGTTCTAATAAGTCCAGCACTTCTTGCCACGTCGAGAACACAAAAATTTTCACAAACGGATCGTCTTCTTTCAGACTAAAAATTCTCCTGACGACAGCTTCAATCTTCAAAGTTGCAAAAGAATTGAAGTAAAAAGCAGACGACAAAGCGAGATTACCTTTGTTCCATACGACCCTGCCACGGTTATAGATGTTTCTTCGTCCTCTTCTTCTTCCTGGAGGTTTTCCGCAATTTTCGAAGAAGCCGCTTCAGCATTGGCATAAGCAATATTAGAGACATAAGTCTGTTGTCTCGTTGGACATGCAATGCGCTTGAAATCAGCACCGATCGCTGGTGCTTTATGGCAGTCCACAATAAGATTCAAACCTGCGAAATAAAATGAAAATTTGCTCAGGAAACCAACAAAGTAAGACACCAAAACTTACACTTGCCACAAAGCAAATGGCCGCATGGAAGGACCATTGCTCCAGATTCTAAGCTATCGTGGCAAACTGGGCAAGTTTCTCCTTCCAAACTGTTATGGCCCTCGTCCTTCTTATTCCTTACACCCTGCAATCCGGAAATGAGAGGAGCTGCGAATAAAAGAAAACTTAAGCCTAATACCTTCAAGTATCTGAGCTGCCTCTTCACACGAGATAGATTCTCAACAGCAACAAATTTTTCGTTGGTAAGCTCCGCGTTTCTAATTGCTATCTCGTAGCCTTCATCACCAAAAGGATTGCCGTCTGCAGCCTTGGCACCTTGCAAACATAGCCTTGTTGTCGACATGCTCAGCTCGTCCAATGCAGTTAGAACTAATTGTTGTGCTGTTGTCAAGCGTCTCGCCGCTGCATATTCGCTACGCAATGCCTGAATTGACACGGTTTGTCAAACAGACTTACAAATAAGCACAGGAGTGTTTACTTCAAGGTACTCGAGATGCTTCTTTGCGGCTTCGACGTTTCTGCTTTCATGTATGCAAGTAAAATCTTTAAAACCATTTCCGTTTCAGAACATCTGTGCGTAACCTGTGAAAAGAAATATTTAAGCTCGAAGCAAAGAAAAACAAAAGAAAAAAGTTAGAAAAACAAAAAGAAGTTGCCTTACCGCAGCTACTGCTGCTCCTTTTCTCCTGCCTGTGAACGTACTTGAGAAACAAAGGCGTCTTCTGCAGCAACAATGCCATCTAATTCAGCTGCTCGGGACGTCAAGTAAAATCGCCTATTTGCATATTTCTGTTTATCCACTAGATTGTACCTGAAACATGAGATCAATCGCACAATGAACACAAGTTATCCCAGTGTGTCTAGGCTGGCACTGGGAACATTGTCCAGCGCGCTGCACATAATCGGGATTCGGATTCTGCATCCCGCCATCCATTTCAAGTAAGCGACTCAGTACGTGGTCACGAGTCTCATGGAGATAAGAACTTGAGGCCGTTAAGGTCGTGGTATCTACATGCTCACTAGAGTACCTTCCAAGAAAGATAAGGAAAACATACCTTAGAACAAGACTAGAAGCATTCCGAAAGGCAGGTTCAGTGTTCATGGCATCTCAGTCATCGCTCAACATCAGTTTGGGTGAGACAGTTGATCTGAGACTGCCAAGAACGCCAGAATTGAGAGCATCAGGCTCTATATACAACATTCAGCAATCCTTGCATGCCAGACGTATATACAACATTGGGAGCGGGTGTCTTCTGCGGCTTGGTCCTGCTACCAGGGGAACCTCGTTCTATGACTCGTCACCAACAGACACAACGATTGTGGCTTTCCCAACGTATACTATAAAGTCAACTAAACTACCATGTTAAAGTGGCCTTTACCATCAAAACCACTCAATATCGTTTTATATAGTGGTTGTAATTGAAGTATGGAATCTTGTGTGTGTATATACAAGACTGATATTTATTTGTTAATATACAAAACTAAGTAATGTCAAAGGTAGTAAAATAAAATGATATTTCAATACCAACTAAAATATTTAGGCCTATAATATAATAACAAAAATAATAATGCTAATAATAATATCAATAATAGAATTCAATGCATTGGTAAACTAAAATATATATTAATTGAATTAGATATAGTTTGTCATCTGCTATAAATGATACAAGCCCCATCTTGTTATATTGTAAATAGTTTCTAGAACAAGTGAGAATATAAAAAGTCTGTTTAAAATAATAAAATACTATTTTTAAAAAAATGGTATAAAGTATATAAGCTAATAGTTTTACATTTAACAAAGAGTTAAATATCTTTTTCTTTTAAATAAATTTTGATTTCTTGGAAAAATGAGTTTTTAACTTTAATTTTCTTTAGATTGAAAGATTGGGAAATATGCACAAAACTTTTGACCTTTGTGCCCTTTGCTACACAGTTTTCATTTTTTTTTATAATATGAGGCAATAGATGTTTAACCACATGATACAAATCAAATAAATGTGGGTGTATGGGCTATTATTAATGGCTTGGAACTCCCAAAGAACTCTTAGCATGTGTGGAAGCTATATATAATATAGATTCAGGAAATCATCTTAATTCAAATAAACAAATTTAATTCTTTGGCATTTTGTGCATTGAGTTGAATTGTGTAGGATGGGATGACAATTAGCTTAGGGTCCAAGGAGTTTGATGGTTACATTTTTTTACTTTCTAAACAATTTTCCAAAAAATAAAGAATTGGCAAGCTCAATGAGTTCTTCCATTTAACTTTAGAACAGGGTAATAGAGTATATTTGTGCAAATTACAATTTATAAATGCTATATTTGTGTTCATTTCCATAACTTTTTTATTTTCCTAATAGAAGAGTGTATTGATAATGTCCTAGATTTAAAGTGCAAAGAAGTTTAATGTTATTTCTCTATCACCCACTATTCTATAATTGGTAAACAAAGTTATTTATTCAATATTGTTTTGCCCTAATAGATTGTATTTCCCACTAGCTTGGGAGTTATATATGTGTATTATTTTTGCACATTTGTAAAAATTTAATAATTAATTATTTAATATTTTCTGATAAATATTTATTTCTTTTTAATTTTTTATAAAATTTAAATTATAAATAAAATATATAAATTAATAATTTTAAAGAAAAAAATTTCAATAATAGTGCTGATAAAATAAACACAACTAAATTATTAACAAAAATCTTTATATGTGTTTATATAAAAACTTTGCATTATAGTTAGACAAAAATTATTTTTACCAACCGATGCAATTGCAGATTACAAATTAGATTTCTTATATATTCAACAGGCTTTTTTATTCTCTTTTTTCTTAAAGTCAAAATTTTTGGGATTACTAATTATTTTAATGTCAATTTTTATTATTCTAGTTTAAAACTATTTTAAAATTATTTAATATTCAAATAATAATAATATATAATGTTTTTGTTGTAATTTAATACATATTTTTTATTTAATTTATTGATTTGAAACTTTTAATTTTTATAATGTAATAAATTATTTTTAGATATTATACTATATAAGAGGAATAAAATGCCAAGAAAGTTAAATATCTCTAGGGTTTAATATCTACTTTTGAATCTAATTTAAAGTTTATATCATATTGTTTTCCTGAACATTTTAATTATGGTTTTACATATCAGGAATCGCTTACCAAGTCAGAGCATCAAGAATCATACCAGATCAGGTGTGGATAAGTGTCCAGACACTTTCAAGTGTTTTGCTGTGCACACATTCCAAGCGAACTGCAAAAGAAGCTAGATCCTAAGCAGGCTACAGCAAGACTTAGAAGGCCTATTGACTTTACAGCTTGGACCAGAAGCAGCTACTGATCAGTTGAGATGTTGTTTTTGACGAGACAACTCTCTATAAGGATTATCTCTCGTCACACACTCAAGGTACTCACTCTGATGAGCAAACTAATCCAGGATGGCTGCAGTTGCTAGAAGATGAGGAACCCCAGCTGCCAAAGTTTTTCCTCAACTTCCAATAACTCCTAGCACAAAGGCTAGCAATAGCTCTCCTCCAGACCACTTTCTTCCATGGTAAGTTTTCCAGGCGGCTCCTCCGTCTCCAAAAGCTTCAAGCTCTTCAAGCCCAGTGCTTCGGGTGCTTAAGCGTTTCCGACAAGTCACACGCGATCAGGACGCAGAAGCTAATCCGCAGCTCAGCCGACTCCATCTGAGAGCTCTTCTTGTCCAAAACAGTAGCCATGGCTGACTCTGCTACAAAGATCTCCTTGATCTTTTGTACCAGAGTTCGAGATATCAGCCATGGCTACTGTCTGGGGTTCCAGGTGCTGAGAGATGAACGACAGGTATTCTTCACGTTGCTGAAATTCTCGGGTAAACACTTTGGAATATTTGCCTTTCTTTTTCTTTCTCTCTTGACTTATTTTTGGCTCTCTCCCTGGCTCAGGTTACGAGCAAACCTTTGGAAACAAGTGGAGGTAATTGAAGGCTGCCAAGCAGCACGCCTGGCCATGGCTCGATGAGGCTCTAGCTTTGCATTGCTCTAGCTTTTTTTCCATCCTTCTTTTTTATCTAGGATCCAGTCAATGTGGAGTCGGAGTGAGATAACATTTATTCTCTCTGGTTTTTTCTCTCGTGAGTTTCTCTTTCTCGCGTTTTCGCAATTGTGTTTATTTCCCTTGCCACGTACCTGACACGTCATATACTTACGTGTCATATTTCTGTCACATCCACGTGTACCTTGACGTTAGGGCTCTTACTTCTGTTTCTTCGTTCTCTTCAAATTTTGATCGCGAAGATCAAAGAACAAGAAATTCTCCAATGCTTCCACACGATCATGCCAGTCTCGAGGAGGAGAAGCAGCACAGTGACGCTCGCGAGGAAACACTTGACGTTCTTCCGCCTCCACCTGGCCTACTTCATCGCCATCGCCATCGCCGGGACGTGGATCCTCTGGGGGATTGGAGCCCGCCGCCATAGCAAGATCTCCCACCTGAAATTCATCGACTGCTTCTACCTCATCACCTCCGCGCTCTGCATCACCGGCCTCGCCAGCGTCCCGATCGAGAGCATCCCCCCCGGCGGCCAAGTCGTGCTCATGCTGATGATGATCCTGGGCGGCCAGGTCGTCACCTCGGTGGTTCCACTCTTCGTCAAGAAGCAGCGCTACTGCGACGTCGCCAGGCAAGTCCTCGCGCAGGATGATCGCACGCGGCCATCGTCGAGCTCTAATCCCGACAATGATCGCGATCTCGTCCCCAATCCAAACGCCCAAGCTCCTCAAGATCGTGAAGACGATGCTACTCCTACTAGCGCTACCACACCCTCGAGCTCGCAAGGAGGATCGTCTCCAGGATCTCTTAAAAGAACGCAAAGCGGTGCTGTCCGGCTCTTGAGGAGATTGAGCGGCTCCATGAAGCTCCGCTCCAAAGAGGACGTCTGGATGCGCGAGATGGCGTCCAAGAAGCACGCCCAGCACTTGCGCGAGATCTTCCAAGAGCACAGCGCAACCGTGTCACTCACCTGGATCGTCGTCTGGTACTACATCCTCGTCCATCTCACCGGCTTCTTCATCACCTGGAGATGCATCCTGGGCGATGCCAGCGCCAAGTCGAGCCTGGAGAGCAAGAACATCAACATCGGCTTCTTCGCGCTCTTCCTCACAGTCTCATCTTTCGCGAATGCCGGCTTCGTCCTCGTCGATGAAAACATGACCCTCTTCAGCTCCTCCACCGTGCTGCTGCTGGCGCTGGCGGCGATCATCCTCCTGGGCAACACCATGTTTGCGCCATCGCTGCGCGGGATCATCTGGCTGCTCCACCGAGTCGACGCCACCCGGCGCGAGGATTACGAGTTCCTGCTGGAGCACCCCAGGAAGTGCTACACGCACTTGTTCCCGCGGACCACCACCCTCTGGTTAGTTCTCGCCGTCACCGGGTTCAATGGGTTTGAGTGCCTCATGTTTTACATTTTGGACTGGAAAAGCAAGGCCTTGGAGGGTTTCGGCACAGGTGACAAGGTTGTCAATGGCATCTTTCAGTCTGTTAACACGCGGAGTGCAGGCATGAACTCCATGAACCTTGCAGATCTCTCGCCCTCAATGCTCTTCCTCTACTGCGGCATGATGTAAGTTACTATTACGCCGCCACCTATTTTCCCTCTTCCCAGCATCTTGGAAGAGAGAGAAAAGGTGGCAGCTTGAGTTTACTGAGCGTGAGAATGCTATGGTTTTGCAGGTATATTGCTGCTTACCCGGTATTCCTCTCGCGGCAGTACTCACGACACTACGAAGCCAAAGAGCAGCGGGCTTCTGTGATTGTGGGGCTGGACCGGGACGTTTTGGACACCACAATCACGACCCAGTCCAAGAGATTGCTGGCTCAGGACTGGGCCTACCTCTTCCTCGCCACCTTTTTCATCTGCGTGTCGGACAACAAGCAGCTCAAAAGCGATCCCCGCAACTTCACCATCTTTAGCGTCATCTTCGAGGTCATAAGGTACGAAAACCCTTCGAGTTGCAAGACAAAATCTCTAAAACTTCGAAATTCATCCAAGTTATCATCTAAGTTACAAAATCATCCTCTCTCCTCTGATCGAGCTCACGAGTTTCTGATTTGATCGAACTTGCAGCGCGTACGGCAATGTCGGGCTGACGCTGGGCTACAGCTGCAGCCTGAGGATCGATTCGGCGCCATGCACGGACGTCCCGTACAGCTTCTCGGGCAAATGGGGCGTTGTTGGCAAGCTCTTGCTCATCCTGGTCATGTTTCTCGGCAGACACAGGGGTCTACCAGATAGCATCGACTCTGCGATCTTGCTCCCAGAGGACAAGTTCTACAGCATGTTGCGGAGCCAGACCGTAGCACAACCCGATGGCTCCATCACGATAATCGCACCACCGAGATCGGAATGTACAGATCTTGTTGATTTGTCGTGAAACAAAGATAGACGAGAACCTCTTTTCGGAAAGCTGTAGAACACCATCGCCAAAAAGAAGAGAGAAAAAAGGAGCACATACCTTTGTGTACAGTCCTCTCGAGATTAAGATTCTTGCACGCTTTAAGAGAAAATCGTGGACACACAATTGATTATGTGTATTATAAATTTCTAGTCGTTTGGTTCTTGCTTGCTGATCGGATGGACGAAGGGCCAACGTATGCCACACTTGGTGCGAGGCCTGGAAGTGGGAAGATCAAAACAGAGTGAAAAGAAGGCTTTTTTACCTCCACTAAATGATGGAGAAAGTATTCGCTCGCTGTAGCCACGAACAGGATTACTCGATCCACACCACTGACGGGGGGCAGCATATAAGTTTCCTTTGCCGCAATGCTCGATCCACCACTCGTTGGGAGCAACACATCAGGTTATGGAGTGCTCGTCGTCAAAGTCTGATAGTAACTTGTGCGAATGCGCTCGCCAAGACTTCTACTGACTTTGTAGGAGGTCAGAGTCGAGCGTTTTCGAGCGAGCGAGCGAGAGAGCTAAACTTCTCCATAGAATTTCCCTCGCTGGCCTATTTAATCCCCTGTGCTTGAGAGTGTCCCCGCGCAACACTTCCAGTGCCTGTACTGTATAGATTTTGTGGTCGATTCTCTATGACGAGCTAATGCGCAGCAGCTGGCGATGGATGTTTCAGCTGTTCTTCGGAGATTGGCGAAGAAGAGACCGTGTTACTACCACCTCCACATCCTCTACTTCGTCGGCCTCAGCCTGCTCGGGGCTCTCCTCCTCCGGAGCTTTGGAACGAGAGAAGGATCCACGCATAGCCACCTTAGCTTCCTGGACTGCTTCTACACGGCTGTGTCGGCGATGTGCCTCAGCGGACTCTCGAGTATTCAGATCGAGGACATTCCAGCGCCTGGCCAGGTGCTTGTCATGGTGCTGATGGTCCTGGGAGGCCAGGTTTTGTCATTGGTTGTCCCGCTGCTTGTCAAGAAGCACAGGTACTGCAAGATAGCCAGGATGGCATTGAGGCCCCGAGTAAAGAGCAAGAGCCTGTTTGAGTCGTTGTATAGAACTCTCTGCTTGCGATCCAATGACGACCTCTGGCTGGAGTCCTTGGCTTTCAGGCCAAACCTTCCCGAGTCTTTCAAAGTTGTCTTCCTTGAGCACCAAGCCATTTGTCACCTGGCTGACATTGTTGTGTGGTACTTGCTGGCTGTTCACTTGCTCGGTTTCGTCGTTGCATGGATTTCCATCCAGTGCTCTTCAAACGCCAAGTCGGTTCTTGAGAGCAAGACAATCAACCCGGGCTTCTTCGCGCTCTTTGCAACCATCTCGGCTTTCAACAACGTCGGCTTCGTGCTTACGAACGAAAACTTAGTCGCCTTCAACACGAACAGCGTTTTGCTTCTCGACCTCGGCCTCGTCATTCTGCTCGGTAACACCCTGTTCCCTGTTGCCTTGCGAGGAATTCTATGGCTGGTCCACCGCTACACCACAGGAACGAAGAAGGAAGTCTACACGCTCCTGCTAGAGCATCCCAGAAAATACTACTTACACCTGTTCCCCAAAACTGCAACGCTGTGGCTGTTACTGGCCGTCACAGGTTCCAATGCATTAGGGGGCCTCATCTTCTGCGCACTGGACTGGAACAACGAGGCGCTTGATGGACTACGCCCTGGTGAGAAGCTTGTCAATGGTCTCTTCCAGGCGTTCAGCACGCGCAGTGGTGGTATGAACTCGTTGAACCTCGTGGAGCTCTCGCAAGCCATGCTCTTCTTCTACTGCGTTATGATGTGAGTCGTTATCTGCTGAAGAGATCGTCATTGTCTATATACTTTGCAGGTATATCAAGCCGTACCCTGTGTTGCTGAGAGGAGAACAGAGCAGAGAAGATGATACCACACTATTGACACAGTCCAGACGAAACCTTGCAAACGACAACACCTTCCTGTTCCTTCTTGTGGTCTTCATCAGCATCTCTCTCAACAGCCAAATGGAAAAGGATCCCCGGAACTTCAACCTGTTCGCCATACTCTTCGAAGTTGCAAGGTTGGCCTCCCTTTTTATATCCTGTCATTTTCTCTCTCGCTGTTGTCTGCTCGTTCCTAAAGCCTTTCCCTGTTTTCGTCCCACATGCAGTGCCTACGGATGCGTCGGCTTGACTCTTGGATACAGCTGCAACTTGAGGCTCCAACCGGGCCATTGCAAGGACACCACGCTCAGCTTCTCAGGAACTTGGAACGCCCCAGGAAAAATGTTTATCATCGCTGTCATGTTCATTGGCCGCCACCGTGACCTTCCCCACCACATTGATTCCACAACCGACATGGAAAAAATATCCAGACTGTCGAGAAGGCCAAGCTTCATAGCTCTGACTCAGCCACCTGTTGTAGTACCAGAATCTACTCCTCCTGTTTGAAAGTCTTGCTAAAGTTGAGTCTTCCACATTTACATGCCCATACTGCTCCCTTTTGTTGACCCCGCTGCCTAAGTAGTCCGTCACAAGTAGCGAGACGCTAATGCTTTTTCTGCTTGCAATGCCCACAACGACCCTTCGTAAGGTCGGGCATACTTGAAAAAGCTTTCAGCCATTCCCTGTGTAAAAGGCAAAGCAGAAGAGAAAGCTAGGGTTTGAAAATGCCACTTGATAAAAAATGTGCATACCAATCCATTCGCAGACACAGCCTCAGAACTTCCTTCAGAGAAAAAGGACTTAACTCCACTTTTATGCTGCAGAAAACAACAGATTCTAAATCCGCAAGCAGTACAGGAAAAGAAAATCTTACAGCGGCTCGCTTGGGTGGAGGCCGGTTCAAAATCTTCTGTGCTCTATTCAATCGATCGTTGTAGTATTCATACGTTGTGGCACCGGGAGGAGCTTGATTTGGATCCTTCACATTGTTCTCTACCTGGAAAAAGTGAGACAAGATGCGTCAACCGTAGCGAACTGTTTAAAGTTTCCGGGAAGAATCAAGAATAAAAATCATACCTGGGTTTTAAAACCTTTATAATGTGGCCAGGCACCTCGCGAGTACTGGTCAAGATCAAACAGTAGCATTTTCTGCTTGCAGCATGGCTTCTCATCATTGGCTGTGGCGCTTTGTGGATTGTGATCGGGAATATGGCCCATGTAACCAGGGATTGGATATTTCCCGACCTTCCGCCTGGAAACGAGAAATTTCAAGCACAGAAATGAAGAGAAGTGATTACCTTGGCACCCGATCCTTTTGCTTGCGGATTTCTTCCGCAATGTGCCCTGTCCGTATCCATCGTCCCTGGATCCTGCAAGACGCGGCCATCACAGCGCTAAATCCCCGGCACGGCGGGCTTACCAGGAGAACTCCGGCGAGGACGCTTTCAATCCCGCTCCCGTCATCGCCAAACCGTCCCACACCAAGAACAAGAACCCTAGCTCACGCACGCGTGAAAGGGCGGGAATGTGCCACGCTGGTAGAATTTAAATCTCAAGCCCTAAAAACACAAACTGCCGCGAAAACACGATCACACGGAATTTCTTGTGGAGAAATTTTACCCCCCTCGATTCGCAAAGAGTCCTTGTTTTTATTACTTTCATGCGGGAGGCGCGAGGCCAAGCCATCCAATTTCTTCGTCGAGAGTGCGAATTTCTGCTGTAAAATTGTGACCATGGTGAATGGAGGTGAATTTGCTTTGAGCTTTTCTTACCTTGTTCCATCCTCGCGACAGAGCTCTCTTCCACCTCCTGGCGAAGCACAGGCTTGACGACGATGTTATTGTCCTGGAACATCTAGAGAACAAACACCACGAAAGTTTTAGCTTTTCTTCCATGCCTGGCACTAGATTGGGATTCACTGACCTGCAAAGCCATGACGACCTTCCACAAGATCTTGAACTGGGACTCCGTGGCGAGTTTCTCGACCGCCGCATCCTGGTAATTAAAAGCCAAGCAACAGTGATCGACTTAACGCCGATAAGAGAAATTGATTCTACCTTGACAATGCTACGAACTTGATGTTCCAGCTTGTCCAGCCGCTCGTGATCTCTAGAAAGAAAAATCATCCAGTTCCAGTTGAGACAGCGATGGTTTCCAGGGAAAAAATTTCACACCTTTCTCGGTCTCTATCAACCTGGTTTTCGGTCTTGATAAAGGTTGCGTATCCTGTTTCCTGGAGGCAAAAAGTAAAAAACTGTTTTACGAAACAAGATCATGAACCATAAAGTGCGAGTTCTCGCGATGCAGCTCGTGGAGATGGATGTAAGCGCTTTGAAGCTCCTCAATGCTTGCCTTGAGATTCTGGAAGGATAAAACCTCGTCAATGAAAAACCACTCAAAGTGATTGATATTAATACCTCGACTTGCGTTCTCATCCTTCTTTTGTCCTGGGATTCTTGCCACGCTTGATCGGAGTTTTGTGTCAGAGTCTCGGTTTCTGTTGGAGAGCTCCTCATTGTAGAAAGCGTACTGTTTGGAACACGAAACACTCAGTCCAAGTAATTCAGAACAACGAAAGCACAACAGACCTTTTGAGTTGCTCAACTTCTTGCTTGAGGCTTTTCATCTCGGCAGCCTCTGAAGCGGTCATGCCTCGGCAGCTATAGGCACCGTCCGGGAGTTTGTCTCCTGGACTCCAGCCAGGAGGTGGAAGCCAGAAGGGGTCTTCAATGCCGGCAGACTTGCGAATCTCCATCAAAGAAGCATCTTCAAGCCAGTACTCGAGATTGCCTTCCGAGTTATGCCGCCTCCTAAAACGTTGGCCATCAGGTGTCGTTTTGTCCACCAAGTGCTTCAACAAGTGATCCAGCAAGCCAGTGTCGCCGATAAACTTCCGTGCGTCCTCTCGTAACACGGCTCTTGAGATCGCATTGCCAGGCCGGGCTCCTTTAGCACGCATAAGATCAATAAGCTTTTCCTGTGCACTCGCATATCTGTATCGATACAGTCAAGACAGCACTCGAAGTTTTCAAAACCGAGTCACTTACCGTCCAGCAGACCACCTTCCAAGCACATCTTTACGAACTTGAATGGCCGTACACCTCACTGGGGTCTTCTCGGGATGCGTTATCGAAGAGCCGCTGTTGAACCTGCTCACAGCGAGCTGAACGTTTTCGTTGATCTTCGAGACACGCGTTGATTTTCTTCGAACAGCCCAGCTCCTCGGGTTGTTTACAACAGGCTCTTTTTTGTCTTCAGCCAGCCAAAAGGACTCAAGGTGACCTTGATGGAGGAGCTCAGTGCAAGATATCGGTCGTATGAGGAGGTCCTCCGCGAGTTTTGCTGTTATCGTCACCTCCTCGTCTAGCTCCGGCTTCGTACCCATGATAGTCTCCGAGATAGTCTCCGAACTTCCCAGGGAGCACTTTTTTTCCGCGTTGCTCCGAAGAAACCTCTCCAACGAGGAACAACTGGGAAATCTGAGCTTCACTTCCTCGCTCGATACGCTCACCACCTACGTGCATTGTAAGTCTCATCTCTAGAAGATAAGAACGCAAAGTTTTTACCATCGCAACGCGAGATCTCAGTCGAGACGACGGGGAAGATGCCAGAGGCCGGCTAACTTCGTACACGACTCCAGCTCTTGGATGCTCAGCTACAAAGAAGACACCAAACGAATGAGAGAAACAAGAAAAAAGAACGACGAAGAGAAGCACTGCTTTGGTTCTTACCGGAGGTTTTCTCTACATAGAGCGTCAAAGCTAGATGCTGGTCGCGATCGTCCTCGAGCGGCTCTAGAAGCTTTCTCTTCCGGTTCTTTTGCTCAGAGCACCAAGGCAAGAGTTCTGCATTCTTCTCGATTTCGTCCTTGGCCTGGGATGAGAGCTCACATCCAAGAAAGAAATCCAAGCAAGAAGCGCTCACCTCTGGAAATGTATCCTGTGGAAATATTTCCTTGCCGCTCCCCTCTAGCGATCCAACAAGCGTCAAGAAGAGAAGAAAACACCGAAGTTCTTCGATCCATACCTTGATTTCCCATCGCCTGGAGCCAGTCCTCTGTCGACGGCCTCGAATTTCTCATCGCTCGGCTCCAATGCTGGAAAATTTTCGCTGTTAGAGCGCAGAATCCAGAGCGACGATCACCTGGACGCCAGAATCCCAGCTCCGGACGAGAATCAGCTTGCGCGCTCGAAATTTCTTCGAGCCTCCGCCCCTCCAACCCTATCTTGCTCGTCGCTAAAGCCCGACGAGGGCCTCCTATCACTTCTTCCTCGCACACTGGCTTTCACTTCCCATAGCTCTGTACGGTACGTACTTGGCCACCTTGAATTTCCAATTTCGGCCAGCCGTACTGGTCACTGGAATCTTCCCGCTTCACGGCAGCATATTCTCCCCGCGATAGCAACAGCTAACCGTGATACGCTTGGGCATCTTCGTGAAAAACTTAAGCTTCGTAGTAGAGAGTGTACTGTTTTAACGGACAGAAAGGCTAGCAAAAATTTTTTAAAGCCGTGCCTTCTCTATCCTTTTGCTCGATCTAAGCTCTTAGCCTTTGGAGCGACTAGTTAGATTCTTCGAGGTACATCGCTGATCATTGCCTGGAGGGAAAAACACGCATTAAAAGCTCATCTCTGGGATTATAAAACTACTACTGTGATTGAAAGTACTTACCTCGTCTACAGCAAAAAATTTAGCTACTAGGACGTCGAAGTTACGTCTGCAGCGTCTCGACGTTGTGTCCGATTTCGTGCCAGATTTTCTCGACCTCGTTCACGAAAGCTGCATTGGAAGAAATCGTCATCAATTTTTTAGCCAGGTTTGATATAAACCAGAGAAGTTTTTACTGCCTTGCCTGGGAACGAAGGATCCATGAGGCATTTCTGCGAAAACAGCGAAAGGAGTAGTTATAAAACGTCTTTGATTTCATCAAAGAGTTGCTCACGAGGATTTGCTCCTTGAGCTCCGGCCCTGAAGGTTTGGTGCTGATCAAAGAGTTGCTCGTATGGATTTGCTCTTTGAGCGCGGGTGCTGATGGCTTGTTACTGGATCCTGCTTAAGATAAACCAAAAAATTCTAGCTTAGAAAGCTCTGAGATTTCTTAAAGTTGTATCGAAGCGAAGTACCTGGGCATGGCAGTGCTAAGACTACCTCTGGATCCGGGAGAACAGACCCTGCTCCCGAGGTGTTGCTTCGGGCCCCGTTGGGACTGTTGGTTTCAATCACTTCCGGAATGAATTGGTCGGGAGCTCCTGGGGCTGTCCAGTCCATCTCGCTGTAGATTTTCGGGACCACGCTTTCTAGAGTACCCCTGGGAATGGACGCGGCAGCCTAGACAGAACAAGCAAGTTAAAACAAGAAAAACAATGATAAAATACAAAACAGTAGCACGTACTTCGAGGATCTTAAAGCATTTCGACGCTTCCTCGTCGTTCTCGAACCTCATTCCAAACTTGTATGTCTGCAAACAAAAAAAAAAAAAACGATCGTAGAATTGTTTTTTCTTTTCTAATCTCGGAGATTAAAAAATAAAAAATAAAATCGAACTCACCGTTCCAGAGATTGCGTAGCTTGCGAGAATGACTCGCGAGCTCCCAGTGGTACGAGGCCAAGCAAACGACAAGTCGGGAACACAGTGTTCTTCCTGGACAACAAGAAGATACAAAATAAACCATTTAGAAACCGTGGTTTTCTTACAAAAGCCAATGCCGGCCAAGCCAAAACAATAGAACGACTACGCGAAGCAAACAAACAACGCGCTATGCCAAGAAACTCACATAGACATTGCCATTGAGAACGATGGCCAGCGTCGCGGAGGCGCTGTTGATCGTGAGAGTAGCCGCCGACTTGGAGATGATCCAGGAGCCCGCCAAGAATCGCCGGTGAAGCCCCTCGAACGGCGGGACGAATTGCGCCAGCTCCACTTGCCATGCGATCCGAGCGTCGCTCATCTCGCTTGCCCCCAGCGCTCGAAGAACCCTAAAACGCAGTTTCCCGCCAAAACTTATGCTGGTAATATACCCGACAGTTTAGTTTTAAATTAAACGCGTCTTTGGCAAGCAATAGCTACGCGTTCTTCCCGGTTTTTAAAGCGAGCATTCTCTTCTTCCACATTACCTCATTCTTTCTTGGGGATTGATCGATCGATCACACAGCTTTGGTCAATTCTCGATTGATTGAGATCGATTACACAGCAGCGTTCTCAATTCTCGAGTGATTGACAAAGGCAAGATCTTTAGAACGAGGTAGTTCTTCAAGGATTCTCCAATGGGACGAGCAATGGCGTTACTTCTTCTCTTTTCCACGATCTTCTCCATCTCCAATTTCATCTCCAGCGCCCAAAACACCAATGCAAGTGCCTGTAAGTGCTCCAATCCAAGCGAGTCCTGCTGGCCCAGCGCCGACGCCTGGAAAGCCCTCAATTCCTCCATCGCTGGCCGGCTCCTCGTCCCAATCCCTGCCGCCCTCCCCTGCTACAAGGACACCTTTGACAACGCTTCGTGCTCCATCGCCATGTCCCGATGGTCCGACCCGAGCTGGCGGATCGACCAAGCCGCCGCCGTCCAGTACGCCAACTGGGAGCTCCTGGGCGAGGACGGCTGCCCGCTCAACACCACCGCGGCCAAGAACGGGCAGTGCCGGCGCGGGAATCTTCCAGAATATTCGGTCCGCGCGGCCACCGCCGGCGACGTCCAGGCGGCCGTGCGCTTCGCGGCGAAGTACCGCCTGAAGCTCAAGGTCAGAGGTGGCGCGCACAGCTACCACGGTCAAAGTACGGAAGCCGGGTCAATGGTCGTCTGGACCCGGGACCTGAGGAACATCAGCTTCAGCGACGACTTCAGGCCGGCGGGTTGCAGTGCTGGTCAACGCGGTCAGAGTGCGGTCAAGGTTCATGCAGGTGATGTTTGGGAGGATGTTTACCGTGCGGCAGACACACGGAAAGTTGTTGTTGTCGGGGCGATGTCGGGAACAGTGGCAGCGGCAGGGGGCTATGTTCAAGGTGGCGGGCATGGCCCGATCTCCCACATGTTTGGACTGGCGGCGGACAATGTTTTGGAGTTTGAGGTTGTGACTGCAGATGGGGAGCTTGTTGTCGCGAATGCATGCCAGAACCAGGACCTCTTCTGGGCCCTGCGGGGCGGAGGTGGCGGAACTTTTGGAGTTGTGGTATCCGCAACATACCGGACTTTCCCGGCTTTCAGTCGTGTGATCGGAACCTTTGTGAGCATCATCCCGGCGAATGCCCCTAGTCTCCTTGAGGTAACCCGGCACTTCATTGAGATCCAGGGTGCGCTATCGGATGAGAACTGGGCGGGTTACTTTGAGATCAGGCGCGAGAGGCTCTTTTTTGGATATCTCATTCCCAACGGCGAGGCGTCGCGAGTGAACGAAACCTTGGGTGGCTTTCTGAGCTATGTCCGGCAGCAGCAGGGGCTCACGATCCAGGTTGCAAACGTGAAGGAGTTTCCATCTTTTCTAGTTTGGAGACAAGCGGCGTCTTGCGCCTACTTCGGTGCACAATGCGTGGAGAGTACTGGCCACAACTTGCAGATTGCTTCCAGGCTGATACCACGCGAGACGATGGAGAAATCGTCGATGGAGCTTGCCCAGGCATTGGTGAATGTTCTTGACAATGGGATTGGGCGGATCATCGGCTGCTTTGTCGCGGGTGGAAAGGTGGCGGAGGAGCAAGACAACGCTGTGAATCCCGTGTGGAGGAAGGCTCTGTGGCAGCTTGTGTTGCCCACCTCTTGGCCGGAAGGGACGAGTTTGATGGAGCAAGACGTAAAGACCAAGGCACTCACGCATGCAAACAGCCTCCTACGTGATCTTACGCAAGAGTCCGGAGCTTATCTCAACGAGGCCGATTTCAACGAGCCTAACTGGCAAGAGTCATTCTTTGGAGTGAACTTTGAGAGGTTAAAGTCGATCAAAAAGGTGGTGGATCCAAACAAGCTTTTCAGGTGCCACAATTGTGTGGGAGATGATATAAATGTCTGTTAACTATAAACTCTTATTTCGTTTTGGATAAGAAATTGAATGGATAAGATTTTATGAACCCAAAAGGAGCCTTTTCGCTAGTAAAAAGGGTGTTACCTGTCTTATAAAACTGAGGCTTTGGTGTTTTGGTGTAATAGGGTTGTGAGAGCTTTACGGGTTTTAGAACAGCATGGCGATCGCAGCAACGATTATTGGAGTGGCTGGGAATGTTGTCGCAGCGTTGATGTTCTTGTCTTCGATGTATGTTTTCACTCTTTTTCTTGCTTCATGACCCCCTTTTCCCAATCTGATTCTTGCTTTTCCATTGCAGACTCACTTTCATAAGGATTGCAAAGAAGAAATCCACGGAATCCTTCTCCTCGGTGCCCTATATCGCCTCGCTCCTGAATTGTATTCTCTGGGTTCTGTATGGCTCGCCAATTAACAAAAACGCAACGCTGGTCGTCACCATCAATGGGCTTGGGACAGTTCTCAACGTGATCTACGTCTTGCTTTTCTTGTTCTACGCGAGGAAATCGCCCAAGGCACTGGTAAGGATTTGTTTTGAGGGTTGATCGAATCGCTTTGCCAACTTTGCCCCTTTTGAATTTGCAGAAAAGAGCATCCCTTTATACGTTTTCGTGCTTGGCGATCATGGCGGCCGTGGGCTTTGGCATAAGTCTCGGAATCCATAGTAAAGACACGAGGATTACAATCTTTGGAGTTCTTTGCATCGTCCTCAACATCGCGATGTATTGGTCACCTTTGTCCGTGATGGTAAGTTGGCGGATTAAAACCTTAACTTTCCTTGTTATCATCGCTAATCACAAAACCTCTGTCTTGCAGTACCGGATTTTCAAGACCAAAAGCGTCGAGTTCTTACCTTTTTACCTGTGCTTGACCGTCTTCATCAACAGTGCCCTGTGGTTTGCGTACGCGCTCTTGAAGCACGACATTTACATACTGGTAAGTTTTCTGCAGTAAAGGCCAAAATATTTACAGGGAATTAACATCGAGTTTTGCCCAATTCAGGTTCCCAATGTTCTTGGACTAGCCGGAGGCGCCGTCCAGCTCTTTTGCCACTACATATATTACAAACCCGGTAACTTGCTGACGTGGCAGGTGCCCGACGAGAAGGAAGCTGAAGAGAGTGAATCCCCGGATTTGGAGAGTGGAATCGAGTTACCCAAGCAAAATGGGAAATTTGTTGACGTAGCTCTGAACACCTCTCCCACGGCAACGCAATCGTGAAAACCTTTAGAGTAAAGGTTGACAACCTTTTAGAGTAAATTCATTTGTAAATTCATTTCATAGTTTGTATTGTAAGAATAAGGTTTATGGCGTAATGCCAAATGGAAACACTGGGAGCTTTGAAAGATCTCCGTGTATTTCCCCAGTATTCAAGATCTGGTGCATTTTCCCAAGATTATGTATACTAACTAACTCAAGGGCTTTGGGTTCTTATTTGTTCATATTTTGGAAATATATATATCATATCTATATATTCTATATATTCTCAATTTAAATAAAAAAACAAATGATTAAATGTTATTTCTTCTAAATTAAAGGTTTCTCAAAATTAGCCATATATAAATTGCTAATTTAATATATACAAATTGAATAAAATACACATATTTTAGTGAAAATATACTTTTGATATTATTTATTGTGAAAAAATAAAATTCTTGGATATTCTGGGATATTCTACTAACTAATGGTTGGTATTTATTTAAATTAATCTTGTATTATAATATATAAACACAAAAAGTATAGTTGTAATTCAAATGAAGGATAAAATGTGTCATAAAGATATAATAAACATTTAATATTATATGTTTACAAAATATAAAGTTAACTGAGGAATTTCAAAATTACTACATATATATATATATAAAGTTTTTAAATACAAATATTTAAAAAACAACTTTAAACTTTTTCAAAATGACAAAATGTGATCAATAATATTTTTCATTCTCAATCACATATTTGCTTTAATGATTTGTTCTTTATTTATTGTTTTTTAGTTTTTTAAAATATTTTGACATTATTTCTTTTGAGAAGAACTAAGTAGGATCAAGTTTATGATATCCAGAAATTTGTTGAAGAAAAACTCTTAGCTTTATACATTTTAGTTCTTTTTTTCTTAAATGATAAATGCTTTGTCTAAATTTGAATTAAAATATTAAATCAAATATAGATAGATTTTGAACAAAAGTACTTGATAGAATTTTTTAGTAACCATAATTTATAACCTAATTAGTTATCATCTAAATGTACATATTCATGTAAACATATAATGGAATAAATAACTAATATTTACTTAATGTGTTTAAAATTTTAATTTTAATTTAGAAACCTATTTAAAATATTACTAGTAGAAATAATTTATATAATATCAGCTTTTGCTAAAATAATATAAAGAGAAGCAAAAAGTATTATTATTACAGCTACAAAGATATGTTAGGATCAAAAAATTCATAAAAATTGGAACTTAAAATTTAACACTATTGAAATAGCAATGGATTATATGTATTATATATCACATTTTAATACAAAATTATCTTTATTTTTTATTAAAATTTAAAACTAATAAAAATATATTTAAAATTGTGAATAATATAAGCATAAACTAAAGTCTATTAAATAGAAGTAAGTGTTATAAATAGTACATGTAATGATATTTTTTTCATTTTTCATGAGTTATTTAAGAAAATGATCATATATTACTTATTAGTATCAATTAGTACAATTATTAATAAAATTGTTAAATATTTTAGCTAATATTGTTAAATGCATTTTAATTATTAATTATTATTTATTAAATTTTTTGTTTAGATTATACAGCAAATTGACCTAATTAACTGTCATGTCCCAGCCAGCTGAAATGGATCTACTATACTTTTACCATTTAACCATGTAATTTACCGTACGGCACGGCTATCATTGTCTGTATGCGTCGTGAGTATTGGCCATGGCGCAATGTGGTCGCTTCTCTGTTCCATTGAGGCGAAGGCTCTCATTAGCCTGCTCTAGGGGAGAGCGCAAGAGCCCTAAGCGCGGTACCGCTGCGCCAATGGCGCTGGTCAGGGTTAGCCCGGAGCGATGCGATGCGATCGATATGGAGCTCAAGCAATCATCGCCGAGGTGTGGCCAGTTCTATCGCCGGCGCCGGCGGCCGCAGGCTCTCCGTGTGGAGCCGATCCAGACGAAGATTTGCAGCGAGTCGGGTAAAATCTCTCGTCTTTCTCGCATTGCGTAATTTGGATCTTTCTTGGCCGATCGATCGTGCAGAGGGAGAAGACTGCGAGAAAGATCTCAGCGAGAGGCAGATCAAATGGGGAACGCGCAAGAAAATCAAATACACGACCAATCCGGACGAGAACCTCCAGATCGTCGTCAAGGGCTGCTCCAAATCGCTGCTGAAAGTTCCCAAGGACATGCAAGGACGCTGGTCGAATGAAAGGTACAAATCTACAGATTGGGGATTTTGGAACGAGCATTCAAGCTCCTTTCTTGTTTTCTTTCTTTTTCCTTTGCGATTTCTTCAGGTATTCTGCCGCTCAAGAGAGTCTCGTCCTGATCCTCCACGAGAAAGGAGCGACCCCGGGAGCTCCAATTGCGAGGCATGTCCTGAGAGACGAGGCGAGGAAATTCATTGGCGACACTGGGCTTTTGGATCATCTTCTAAAGCACATGAGCGACCGGGTGGTGGTGAGGGACCAACGATTTCGACGACGCCACAATCCCGAAGGCGTGATGGAGTACTGGCTCGAGGATGCGAGCTTCATGGAGCTGAGGAAAGATGCCAACGTAAGTGATCCTTGGTGGATTCCGCCTCCTGGATGGAAGAAGGGCGATCCTACCATCACGAACGTTGAGGGAGAGATAAGAGCACTTAAGGTGGGCTTTGATGGCCTTCGAAGGTATGGAGCTTGTCGATTTTCTCGTAAACTTTGACGTTCTAAGTTCTGGTTTTGTGCTGCTAGCGAGATGCATCAAGTACAAGAATCGTCGAGCGAGTCTTCACACGAAGCGATAAAATCTCTCAAGGAAGAGGTAGAGCTCTTGCGAAGGTCGGGTCCCGTGCTGGAAACGTCTAGTTTGTAACTTCCTTTCGTTGTCTTTCTCGCAGTGAAGTGCAGCAGCTGCAAGGAAAACCTGTCGAGAGACTGGATGGCCTGGAGACTCAAGTTCGTAAGATGATGGAGGTATACTCTCATTTCATTTATAGCTTAAAACAAATCGTTTTCGCAGGAAGGCAAACTCCGCCAGGAGCTCCAGATCGTGGAGAAGCTGACGCTCGATACTCAGTTCGCAAACATGTGGAAGACCGTCATTACAATTCAGGTAAGTTACAATCGAGTTCCACGTCCAAGTGCGTAACAAAATGGTCGTGTTCATCCAGGAAAAGCTGGCGGGCATGGAACGCTTGGAGAACTCTCGGTACCAGCAGCGCAGCGTCTTCTCTCCCTGCGTTATACAATCCCCCAGCGACCAGAAGGAGCACGCCTTCAAGCTATGCAGGCCACCAGGGACGTTTCTCATGCCTCCGGCCTCGACTCCCAGTGGCAGCAGGGGGCCCTCGTACCGAGTGGAAGACATCCTCTCCCCGAGATCCTCCTCGGACTCGGAAGTGACGATGGAAACGAACAAACCATTCATCGATCCGGTGGTGAGCAGGCACCAGATGTTCCTCACGGCGGCGGTCCAGGCACTCCAGGACAATAGCTTCCAGCATCAGCAGCATCAGCAGCAGCAGCCAGACAGCTCTTCCTCCTGGCTTGGACTCGCGGGATCTCCGAGCTTTGAGCTGCTCCAAGCTCGCCAGAGCTAGCTCTCATCGTTATCCGCCACCACCACCGCAATTTTGGACTCTATAACGTACTTAAGAGATGACTTTGTACATAACGAGACGAGACGAGGCGAGTGAGGAACCAAAATGGAAACGAAACAGGGTACCTTAGAAACAAGAGAGAACCATATCGTTCATAAAACTTGATGACACAAGTCACGACTTTTGCAATACAACGCACCAATTCGATTTGTCAAAGAAGTGATCAACGATTACGGCACCATCGATCGATGAAACCAACCTGCACAGCAGCCGTGAATGATCGAAAGAGAAAACCAAACTGAGAAGAAAGAGACTTACCTTTCGAGCTCGCCTCTGACGAAGACATGGTAGTATCGGTTGTAGACAACGGCGCTCTTCTTATCGTCCTTCCTCGCGAAGCCACTCACGACCGCCTCCGCGGAGCCGGCGATCTCCGCGCGATGGTAAGGCAAGTGCCACGGTACGAAGTACTCTTGCTGCTCTTCCAGATTTTCAGCGCTAACCATTCCAGCCTCTCCTTCGGCTTCGTCGATCTTTGCTAGAGATGGCGACGACGTCGCTGGAAAGCTCTTGCTTTTACCACCCCCGTCCATGTCCCCGACCCATCCTTCCACGCATTTCTCATCCAGAGGAGTCCATTTCTTGACGAGTCCTTTGTCTTCCTGTTCCGCGGCCCACACTGTGACCAGCACCTTGCCTCCGGTGCTCACTATCCTCAGAAGCTCTACGATTGCTTTCCTCCGCCTCTTCTCGGTGCTAAGGTGGTGGAGCACGGCGATCGAGATGGCCGCGTCGTAGCAGCCTGTTCTAAACGGTAAGTTGACAGCATCCGCGACGAAAACTTCGTGGCCTCTCCGTGCGCAGATGGAGATGAGCTGCGGACTCACATCGCAGCCGACGAAGAAGCAGCTGTCGTTGAGGCCCAAGTACTTCCCGTTTCCACAGCCAGCGTCGATGACCATTGAGCTCGGGGGCAGCGAGTCGAGGAAAGCGGCAACTCTGGGCCACTTTGCAAACCTTGTGGAGCTGAAGTGTGGAGCAATGGCGTTGTAGACTTTGTGAACGAAAGTTTTCTCTATTTCCGGCGTTGCGAGGTCATCTGGATCGGCTTCTTCTTGATCAACACTTTCAACTATCTCTGCAGCTCCAGAGTCGGACTGAGAATGGCACTGAGAATCGCAATACTGCCGAAAGTTGCAACGACAGGGGCCATGACGAACCTGCAAAGATGGTCGCAAGGAGAGTTACTTTGAAGAGACAAACCAAACCTTTCGGAATGTATAGGAGACTCTTCTCGACTCTCGCGGGACGCTCTGACCAGATACGAGATCAAACTACACAGTCGACATGAAGCGTTAGCAAGGAAACGAAGAGTACGAGATAACAGACCTTGTGATGCGGTATATAGTGGTGCCATCCATACCGTGACTCTCCGGATAGAATCAGCAATGATCTTTGCGGAAGGAACAACGCCTTTCTTTCAAACTCCGGCGACACACCTTCGCTCGCGTACTTCCTGAACTCCATGACACAAGGGCCAGCCAGAGAAAGAGAGATTATTGAGCCTTGGAACGCGGAGTGAGTGTCAATGTGCGGGGACAAGCCAACACCACGAGGATATTCATTAACCTATGAAAGAAAGAAAGACTCGAAAGTTTTGAGACGACGACACAAACTTGCAAGAGCAAAACGTACCGTAAGTTGGTCGAAAGGAAACGTCGCCTCGGAGGTTTCCTGGAGCTCAGCAATCGAGGAAATCTTCTCGAGCAATGGCTGGAGAAAGTCTGGGAACTCCCCCAAAAACTTGGAGGTGTCCACATTTCTTGCCTGGAGAAACAATTGAGTTTTTAGAAGATCGCAAGAGATAAAAACGAAAGGAGTACGTTGTATAGAAACTCGTATCCATAATGCTGGACTCGACGCTTCGCAAGAGCTTGCCACGGCCTAGCATCGACCTCTTGAAGGAGTCTCTGGAAAAAAAAATTAAAAAATCCGATGAAAGATCTCTACAACTGGAGATCCAAGAAAGTTTTTGATTCTCACCTCTTCTTCCCGCGATGATATAAACTCCGTCAGCAAAGAGAGGCCTGGAATTCCCAGCTCCTGAGCCGAGGTGCTCACTGGTACCTCAACCAACTAGCGAAGAAAATCTTGTCAAAGACGAGTAACGAATTCCTCAATACTCGAGAAGAACAGAGAGTCTCAATTGGCATACCTTGATTCTCTCACGAGGAACTGCGAATTCGATCACCAGCGCGCGCTCCCCGAGCGCTCCACAGCATTGCCGATTCCACGCATCCCTGGCCGCCGCCGCATCCGCCTCCCTCTCAAACGACACGATGACCCTAGCCTTGCTCGAATCCGCGGCGCAAGCATCCAGCACCGGCCCAAACTCGGAGAATGCCGCCTTCACGGATTCCAGAGCTATCCCCAAGCAATTCGCGACATAGAGATGGCGCGTGGCTCCCACAGCTCGTGCAAAGCCCTCCATCCTCAAGAACCCTAAACCCAGAGCTAGAAAGAATCAACGGCTTGGAACCTGACACCTGAAAACATCGAATCTACACCGTCCGTCAGGGCAAAATTTAAAATCAGCCGTTGGATGCAAACGGGCATCCTAGGTGGCATCTTGCGAGCCGTGGATTCTATCAGGGTGAGAAATTTTGAGGGTTTTGTTTGCTCGCCATAGCCAGGGTTGAATCGCAATGCCGCCATTCCAGCGCTTCGCGATCGCAATCGCGCTCGCGCTCTTGATCGTAGCAAAGGTCGATGCGCAAGTGGCACGGAAGGAGAATATCAAGTACCTGGGCTGCGCGGTGTGCGAGCAGATCTCCAAGCAGCTGTTCGAGAAGGTTTCGGAGAAGAAATCGATCAAGAAGAAGGTGAGAAAAAGGCAAGAAAATCTAGTGCCGGGGCTGATCGCGTCTGGCAGCTCTCAGAATTCGAGATTATCGAGCTAGCGGAGAATATCTGCAATGTCAAGAAGCGGGAAAGCGAATGGATGTTCTTCCTGGATATCGTGCGAGAAGGAAACAAACTCAAGGTAGATTCTTCTCCTTTTCTTTTCTGTGAGATGATGGACTTGTGCTCTGGATCTCAGCTCGTGGAGCAGCCGGAAGAAGGAGAATGCAACACCAAATGCAGGACGATCGAACGAACGTGCCAAGAAGTATGAATTTTTCTTTTCTTATTTCACGAGATATTTAGAACGACAAGGAAAATTCTTTGTAGGTGATCGGAGACCATGACACCGATATCGCGGAGTTTATCCACACACACTTACGCGATCTATCGGAAGAGGCCATTTTCAAGTCACTTTGCAAAGAAGTCACCAAGTCCTGCTCATCCAAACTACCAGCGCTTCCGAAAGTAAGTTTTGCCTTTTCTAAGCCTCCAAACACGATGAAAATGCCTGCTTTCCAGACGCTAGATTTGGGAGAGCCCTTCACGCCAAAGCCCACCAAGGACGCGGACATGGCTAGACTGATGCGTTCCATGGGTGTAAGTTTTAGACCTTCATAGCCAAGCGCTCGATTCTTTACTCTATATGTTTTCATGGTTTTCACAGGACATGCCTGGAGGACAAGGAATGAAAATGTATTCCAAGGACGATCTCATGAACATGAACAACTATCCGGCTGGTGACCCCGACGATGACGATGACGACGACGATACCGACGAAGGAAGCAAGCTTCAATCACTTCTTAAGGTTCTCAAACTTGCCTTTTCTTTCATTGTCTCGGTGCTAAAAGATTTCCAAAACTCCGCAGAAGCAAAACTTGAAGAACCCTGCGAATCCAAAGAACCAACCCAAGCGAAGCATGCTAACTCAAGTTCTCGATCACGTACAATCCATTGGCCGTGACACGCTGAGCAGTGCGAGGAAAACGAAGGACAAAGTAACCAAGTATGTCAAGCGATGGTGGCGGAGAGCCAAGTCCTCTAAGCAGCGCCAGGCCCAAAAGGTGGATCTTTGATGAAGTGAGCTTTACGAGAGCAAGATTTCCGAGGCAGCGGCGGCTAGCAGCACCGATCCCAGCGCCGCCAGCGCCAGAACATCGTTTAACTTAATAGAGAGCCTGCTCAAGAAGTAGAGCTTGTGTTCTTCGGGATTGCCTTTGAAACCTCGAGCTATCATAGCCTGGGATAAACAAAGCTTTCAACGATGACAAAGGAAGATTTGCGTCCTACCTCGGTTATATGCTCGGCATGAATGAAGAGATTTTTGAACAAGCGACTTACGAGTGTCCCAAGATCTGCCAAGAAAGGAAAGCTCGAGTTTTCAATGAAAGAGAAGCGCAAACTTACGTTCTAGAGTCTCTCGCAGCTTCAACGATTTCCACTGCACGCCCCGCGAAGCCACGGCCAAGGCAATGTTTCGCACCTGGAAGTGAGTGGAAATCCATCACGCTCGCTCCGAAAAACCTCTCGGGGTAACGTACCTCGTCGAAGACAAGACCAGTGAATCTAAGCGACAGTAGCAAAGTGAGTATCATCTCGTCCACAGCAACGCCGACTCTTTGAAGTGGACGAAGAAACCATCGCAGCCCGGCTGCTAGATCCTCTGGAGTGGTCGTAGCGATACAAAGACTGGCACTTTGGAGCACCTGGAAACAAAGAAACATGAGCGTTTGCTCTGAAGAGACTACGAAAGCTTACCGTGAATGATAAACACGCAGCCGTGGTAGCGAGTGCTACACCTTTGGTCGTGAGCTGGAAAGGCCCAAGCTTGAAGAAAACGTAGGAGTAGCGATTCAGAGCTGGAGGCAGCGGAGGCAATGAATCCACACTCGGTGGTGGTGTTCGAACTTGCATGATCGGTGTGACACCATCTGTCGTCAAAGCTGCCATCACGAAAAGCAATCCACAGAGCAATGTTGTTCTTCCCAACTGGTCCTGTGAATCGAGAGAGAAACGCTGGATGTTACTGGAGATTTCAAGGAAGAAAAAAAGGGACGCTAGAAACGAACCTGCCATACTCTCTTTGGAAGACACGAAACAGCTGCTGTGGAGAGGAGGGCGACCACGCCTAGTCGAAATACTGCGTGTGCTCGCGAAGATAAAACGATCAAGCCAAGTAACCAAGCCTGCAAGCTCAAACCTGATTTAAACGGGTTACCATCACGAAGAACAGTAGAAGAGAAAACTCTCTACAAAGAGTATAAGCACGCGAAGAACCCGCGGAAGAAAAGAAGAGAGATCACGATGATCCAAGCAAAAGTTGGCAAGAAAAACCACAAAAGATAGACTTAATCACGAATCATCCAAGCACGAAGAGAAAAGAGAATTTTCCACAAAACTATCATCCAAGCACGAAGAACAAAGAGAAAAAAGAGAAAAAGATAACAAAGGAAACTACGCAAGAAAAAGAGAATTTGCCACGTCCAAGCACGAAGAACACTACAAGCTAGAAGGGAAAAAGAAGAAAAAGAAACCTGTTTAACTCGGGGATCCAGCGAATGCAAGACCGTAACTGGAGAAGAAATGTACTGCGCCAGCGGCGACGATGTCGCAGTGGCCACCATTCTCACAATCCGCGCACCGATGGGCTCCTGATTGCCCAGACTCTTGGCCCAATCCGCAAAACCCCGACCCCGGGACTGCGCCGCAGCAGCGATCGTGAAGCGGCAATGGCGCTTGCAGCTAATCCACACTGGAACCGTCACAAAATCCCTGGCAAAGATGGAAGAAGAGGAGAAGCAGTGGAGCGCATTGGCGCCCGGCGCAAGAAGAGACATCGCTCAAGAATTTAGGGTTCTTGGCACAATGATACATTTTTAGGGCTCTTCAATCAAACAGGGGAAAGAGGTGCGTTCTAGACTCTCGATTCCAGTCCATGGCCGGGGCCAGATAGGAGATTCCAGCTAAGGCATGGCGCTGAGGCGCTGTGCGCGGCGTGGGATCGTGGGAGCTCTCGCAGCCGATGCCATCGCCTTTTCTTCTTCGTCTAGGGTTCTATCCCAGCCGGGCAGCAGCTGGGAGCTTCGATCGGCGCTATTCTCGACGATCTGCGCGCCCAGAGCCGCCGAATCGACGCTCCTCCCGTGGAAGAGATCCATCTCCCTATTGCGGCAGCGCCGTGGAGTGGCCACCGACCACTCCACCGAGACGACGTTCGCGGAGAAATGGAGGATCGCGCAAGAGAAGATGAAGCAGGCAGTGATGGAGAAGCCGCGAGCAGTGGTGGAATCCGTGAAGAACAGCGAATTCGCCGAGGGGACGAAGGGAGCGCTATCGGCTGTGTCAGCTCCAGTGGCCAAGACGCTTGTGAGCTATCGGGAAGCTCTCAAGCTCCAGATCGAAGCGTTTTGGAGGAGGAACTACTTGGTTGTGGTGGGAGCGGTGGGGCTGGCCGCTTGCCTTCTCCTGTGGAAGGTGATGTTTGGGATCGCGAGCTTGTTCGTCTCGCTCTCGGAAGGGATGGCCAAGTATGGATTTCTCGCATTGGCAGCAGCAATGGTCACCTTCAGTGTAAGAGCTCAGTGCTTCCATCTTTGATCTTCTTCCTCCATTGTGAGTTTGTATGCTTTTCCTCGTTCTCGTTTTCTATCTTCCATCTTTTCTTTGATGTTCTTCCTACATTGTGAGTTTTCTAGCCTTTGAGCTTCTATCTTCCATTTCTTCATCTGCCATTTTGAGTTTCTATGTTTTTCCTCCTCGTTTCTCCGGGGCTTCATCTTCCATCTTTTCTTCCTTCTTCTGCCATTGTGAGTTTTTATGTTTTTCCTCGTTCTCGGAGCTTCTATCTTCTTTTCTTTCTTCTCCCATGGTGAGTTTCTAGCCTCTTCCTCGTTTTCGTTTCTTTGGAGCTTATCTTTTCTTTGATTTTCTTCCTCCATTGTGAGTTTCTATGCTTTTCATCGTTCTCGTTCTTTCGGAGCTTCTATCTTCCATCTTTTCTTTGACCTCAGTCATTTCTATTGTTCTCGTTTCTTGAGAGCTTCAATTTCCTCCATTTTGAGTTTCCAGCCTTTTCCTTGTTCTCGTTTCTTTCTATTTCTCCATTCTGACTTTCTATACTTTTCCTCGTCCGAGTTTCACTTTTCCTCGTTCTCTTTGATTTGCTTCCTCCATTGTGAGGTTCTTCGTCGTTCGTTTGTAGTTTTTGGTTTTGTTTTTAGTTTCTTTCCATATTCTAGGAAACTATTATAGCTATCGTGGCTTCCTCTCTTCTTTTCATTCTCTCCTTGGTTCTAGTTTTGTTCTTGTTCTCGTGCACTAACTTAGTTCCTTTGCTTCTGGCGCAGGGAATGGTTTTGAAAGCGAGATACACGATAAATCCCGATGCAGTCTACAGAATTGCGATGCGTAGGCTCAACACTTCTGCGGACGTGCTCAAGGCGCTCGGCGCTCCTCTCTCCGGGACAGACATTCGTGCCTACGTGATGACCGGAGGTGGCCTCCGGATCAACAACTTGAAGCCTCGAGTGAGCAGCAAGCGGTGTTTTCTAATCTTCCCCATCCAAGGATCGGAGAAGCGAGGACTCGTGAGCATCGAGACGAAGAAGAAACAAGGCCAGGCAAGTTCTCTCGTCGTCTTTCGGAAGTCGCTTCGATTCTTCACTCAGATTTTTCATTTTTCTTCCAGTTTTCCCTCATCCTTTCTTCGCTTCTCTTCTTAAAGTTTCGTTCGTTCTCCAATGCTATTCTCCTATCTTTCTGCTAATCTCAGTATGACTAACTTTCCTTCGTTCGTCTTCCAGTATGACTTCAAGCTTCTAGCAGTTGACATCGCCGGGCACGAAGGAAGGATCTACGTCGCCGGCGACGAGGCCGAGTATAAGATTGGCGGTGGCCTCATTGCCGAGCTGCGAGATCCAATCGTCAAGGCGATGGCAGCACAGAACGAGTTTGAGGCTCAAGACGATAAAGAGGAGAAAGAGATGGAGGAGGCGCCTGCGTTGAAAGCTAGTGAGAGCTGATTCCTCACAACATCGTCTTTCTTTTTTTGTAGGTTTTCAGAGACATCAAAAAATAAATCCTTGTGTTTTTTCATGAGAGATGATTTGTAGTCGAGAGTTGAGATCTTTTGTTCTAGTATTGTTCCAAACCATCTCTTAGAGCAAAGGAGCGCTCCTCTGCAAACATGTCCTTGAGCAACTTATATGCAGTTCTTTTTTGTTCTTCATTACCTTTGAATCAGATAAATGCAGCATGGATTGCTCTATACATTTTCA